GGCAGCCCGAAACTGTCAACTTTACTTTCAAAGCCTCCAAAAGGTATCAGAGTCATTTGCCACCCACAAAATGGACTTGGCACAGGCAACACCCAGGTTGACAGAAATACTGTATTTTGAGCAAAGATCTGACCCTTTCACATACGTTATTCCTCCCATTTCTAATCCTGACTTCTGAATCTAGTGTAGCCCCAATGAGCATGTGCACTTCTGCCTCTAGACAAGCCTAGTAATAGGGACTCTGTAGGTCACAGCACAACTGAAAATGATGTGAGCCAACCTGCCAGTGATCTGCATCTCCTAGGAGATGTGCTGAGGGTTTATGAAGCAGCCTGCCCGGGGGGATGCTCCTGGTGTCTTTCTGGGAGATGGAGCTCCTGCCTTGCAGCAGGAGGTTCTGCTTCCTTAGGCTATTCCTTCCTGTTAGTCACTTCCGTTTATGACTTTGACTGTGTTTTCCACATTAATGCTTAGACCTCCCAAAACACTGTTATGTTCCTGTCTCCATGCTTTTGTTCAGCTAATACCACAGGCCTTGTGGAAAGTTATTTTCATTACTTTGCCTTGTACAATGTCCATTGCAGGATGTCAGACACTGTCATCATACGGCTCTGTCCTGTGTTTAACCCATTCAGCAGTTCTCCCCCAGTGACAAGCTAAACAGTGGAACTCACTTTCCATAGTCACAAGATTGCAGATACCAAAGGCTCAATATTCTGAGAGATAAAACAAGCTCTCAGAAGAGAAACTGAGTAGCTTCAATTCAGAAGCTGCCAGCTCTGGCTCAGGAGATCCTTAAGCTTCAAGTAGCTGGAGAGCTAAGGATCACAACAGATTCTCTTTTGCTTATATTCCTCCCTGCTATTCTATTCACTGTTCCTGAAGACAGGCTACAAATGTAGAACGACTTTTTGGTCTGACACAGTACCACTGTGTCTCCAAATGAGTGCAAGCATGCTTGTAAGAAAACCCCTTGGGACATATACCATGTTTGCTCTGCATGCTGACACACAACTGTGCAGGAGAAGGGCAGCTCTTTCTGAAGAAGGGGGATCCTTAATTTTGGACCCTTTCACTGTGGTGAGCAGAAAGGGACATATGATGCTATACTGAAAATGGGCCAACTTATCTCCCTTCTTGCTGTGCCTCAGCTGCTGTTGTTCCCTTAGACTTATCTCTCCTGTCCTCTGAGAAACTGGGGAATCCCTGTGCATGCTTCAGTGAATTTGTTGCCTCTGGGGTCCTGCAGGAAATACCTCCCTTCATCCATGCCCTCTTGTAACGTTTCAGCCTTTCACTGTTCATCACTACATCATCTTTGGTTTGGGGTCTCTGCTGAGTTTCAGAAAAGGCTGTGATTATCAGTCTCCTCCTCTTGTCTGGAGATGGATGCTAGCAGCCCTGTCCTCAGTAGCTGTCATTTCAGCATGTGAGGCCACCAGCTAAGCTCCTCTTCCTTCCCAGGGGCTTTTGTGTGCCTCTAGGTGACCTGTCCTCCCTCCTTACATGGAGGCACCTCTACAACATGAGCATGCGCTGGCTCCACGTGTTGCTCTCACCTCTGTTTGTGTGCATCATACAGCAAGAAGGAGGAGAGAGAAAGAGCAAAGCCTTTGGAAAACCTGGGCACAGGGGAGGTAAATGAGGTGGGACTGATAGCTCGCAAGGAGCTGCTCAGCAGAGCAGGCTGAATGGAAGCATGAGAAGTGGGGTCCCACAGGGATGGCCATGCTGAGAAGCTTTCCAGCAGCATCAGGAACTGTCTTGGCTGTGTGGGGGGCTGGAGGGGAGCTGTAGAGTGGTCTCACATGTAACAGGGACAGGGGATCTTGCAGGGCAGGGAGGGCAGCGCAGCAGTGCTGTGGTAAGTAAAGGGGATGGAAACAGCGCTGGAGCTGTGCAGCTTGTGAGCTACTGGGTACCAGACTTCTGGGACAAACCAAGGGCTAGTGGAGATGGAGGGGAGAGGAACAGCTTTTTTTTGAAGCGCACAAGCTCTCTTAGCATAAGGGGCATGTGATTTGTAAGTCAGTGAGTCTTAGCACAGCTCATCTGGGTCTCAAAACAAGCTTTCCTCTTGCCAGTGCTGTTGTCTACAGCATTTGAGCTTCCTGCAGTGGGATGCTGGTCAGGGTAGGTACAGGCTGACATGACCAGTTAAGCTACAAAACCTAGCCAGAGAAAGTTTGCAGTTATCTTTGGAAAGCTTGCTTTTCCTGGGGGTGGAAAATGGAGGACCAGGTAGAAGATAGAAGCACAGAACTTCTGCTCATGTCCACCCTTCAGAAGCCCCTATTCCTTTTCTCCAGTCTTTGGTTTTCAGAAGCAGAAATCCCAGTTCACACTGAACAATCCCCAAAGGTTTATGCAGTGTAATGTTGCAATGTATCTCCCTTCTACAAGGCTTGCCCCTGCTTCTATAGTAGCCACCTGATGAAGCAGGAGGTTACACGGGGTAACCTGGAACATTCATGCTCCCTCCAGTGTGGGTCCTGGTGCAGTAGGTGTACCTGGCAGGGAGCTCTCTGTAAAGCTCTCCCATCCTTGTCACAGCAGTAACTGGCCTTGGCCATACCTTGGCCCTGCCTGAGCATTTTACAGTCCTCTGGAAACACCTCTGTGGGATGGACACTTGTCCTGTTCTTTTCCTTCCGCCCAGAAATCCTGCCCACTGTTCAGCAGTGTGATGGGATAGGGAGAGCAAGAGAATGTGAAGTGGAGCACACAAACCAGCAGAAAGAGAGGGGCTGAGAGAAACCTCAGGCACTACATGAACCATTATTATGAATTGCTCCAGACATCCATGATGCTGCCCAAAGAAATCTATTGTGCCAAGAAGTCCAGGAAGATTGGAGAACGTTGCTCAACTCGGGGCTGGGCTGGGCTGGAGGTTCTTCCCCAGAAACCTCTCTGCACCTGAAGAACACCATCAGCTTTATGGTTAGGGTGTAGGCTTTTATTCCTGCACCGTTCTGAGTTTGTTCCCATCACTTGGTAAGCACCTTGTCCCTTTTGTCTTCTGGAGAATCACTGCCACCTCTTCTTTGCTGCTGCTTGAAGGCTGGCAGGAGCCTGCAGTGACAGCAGGGTGGCCTGCTGAGGGGTGAGGTGTTGCAGGGCTCTGTCAAGCGTTAGGGAAATGCAGGTCAGTGAAGCAGCTTGCCAAGATGTGCGGGTGGAGTCCTCAAGGGGGAGGATGGAAATGGTGCCTCTTCCCACAGGCTTGTTACCAATGAGGGTAAGAGGCTCCAGGAACTCAGGCATTCTCCTCTGTCCTCTCACTGCAATGCAGGTCCAAACACCTGGGAGGGGAACCAGGAAAAGCATGTTCCTTTGCAAGGTCTTAACCGAAATGAGTATGTTTGTGCCCCTGAGAGATGGACTGTGAGGCTTCTGAGGCAGGAGATTAACAGTCCCTTACAAAGCAAAGCAAAACCGCTTCTTGGCCAGAAAGCTGTCACTGTGTTTTTTGTTCTTTCCAATATGACACAGAAAGTGACAGATATAGCTTTTGTATCTAGTTTACACCGCAGATTTTGTTCTGTGACCTTTTGGATATGCATATGGTTCTAGATTTCTGAATCATGTTTAGATGCCCAAAATCTGGCATACCCATAGTGTGGGATTATTTGAGCTTGTTTTCAGATGTGTTAATCAAACCTGGCTTCAAGGAAGTCAATAGGAGGAAACAGGCCAGCAGGATACCTCTGTACTCAGCCCAGATGTTACCACATGAGCAAGGTCCTCACCAGCCCCTCACACAGAGCTGGAATTTGCAGACCAGAAATGCCCATTGTGCAAATCTGTGCGGTCAAAAGGATTCCTGTGGCACTGTAGGTATCTGCTTGGGAAAAGAAAATGTGTCTCTGCCCCCCCATTGTAGATCATTGCATGTGTTTGCAAAAATGCTTTTTATTTAAGGGCTTCTGAAAAATCACTGACTTCTGTAAGGCCACTGTCAGCAAGACTTTTGCCCACTTCTTTAACAGCATCTTGTTATTTTAATGTCAGTTGTTTTACTCCCAAAAATCTTGGCTCAGAACCTGTTTAAAACCTGCTGTGAGAATGTTTTCCGTCATTGGTGGGTACGAGACCCCTTCCTGTACTACTCGTTTTACCTGAGAAGAAACAATTGCTCTTTTACTTTGGTGCCACAGCCTCTGAACAAGCTGATCCTGTTACCATCCAGCAGTTAGTATGGTTTCTGCAGAACTAGAGCCCCTCTCTACCAGCTCTCCCTGCCTTCTATAAAATTCTTGTCTTAGCAGCAGTGTCAACTGAGCAGGAGAGGAGCAGAAGATATGTATGGCATTGTTCTAGCTGGGGATAGTCAGGAAACTGCCCCTTTACTGGTGGATCATGCTCCACTGGTGACAGATTTCCTTCACATATGTCCCTTCCTGAGAATCGCAATGAGCTCCCAACTTAGCTCATATAACAAGGCAAGTGCTAATAGCTGGTCACGGCTGGCCTGGGTTGACTTTGAAACCTTGGCCTCGAGGTGAGATTCTCTATGTGCCCTTTGGAATCTCCAGAATTTCTGCTCAAACTAAAACTGGCTTTTACCAACTGTGTGGTAAGAAGCAGTGGCTGAGCGTGACTGCATTGTGTCCAGACACCTTTATGTGACTAAATGGGAGATCAATCCTTGAAGTCTTAAGTGCAGTGTAGCCCACTGTTGGTTGACATCCTTTAGTGCTACTGTAGTCAGAACTACTAGTACCTTTGCAGACAAACTCTACGCAGACTGGCACAACAAAGTGGGATGCAGTTTTGCTTAATCAGAGTCATGTAATGTCTTTTCATCCCCTACAAAGCTCAGTCTTGTTTCCGTTTCCCCAGAACAAAGCGCAGACCCCACCACTGGAGGTGTGGGCACAAACGTTTGGGTGCCCAGGAATTTGGAGACCCACGAAAGCTCTGGGCAGTGGCAATAGCAAAGGGACAGAGTTACGTCCCTGCCCTGGAGCCAGGCTGACGCTTCCATGTTTCTTTCCTAGGACTACACCATCACCATGTACTTCCAGCAGAGCTGGCGAGACAAACGCCTGGCGTATAATGACCTTCCTCTCAATCTGACCCTGGACAACCGGGTGGCTGACCAGTTGTGGCTGCCTGACACCTATTTCCTGAATGACAAGAAGTCCTTTCTGCACGGGGTGACAGTGAAGAACCGCATGATTCGGCTGCATCCTGATGGGACTGTCCTGTATGGCCTGAGGTAAGTCTAAGGGGAGTCTTTGTTGGCTGCGGTCAAGAATGACATCTCGTCTAAACTTCTCCCACTTCCAGAGATGTTCTGGTAAGGCAAGGACCCAAAAGACCACAAGATACTCGAGTGTTGCACAGTTTTAAGTATCTGTCCTTTCTGCAGGTTGGACATGGTTGTTTCCTTCAGGTCTCCAATGTTTCCTGTACTCTTATAGACAAATCTTGGAGATAGGAATAGTTTGCTCTGAGCATTTGAGGTCACTGTCATTCATGTTGCATAATGCTTCCATTTGAAACATTCATTTTCAGTTGCTTATGACTTTCTGTAAGTTTGGCCTATTGAGATGAGACTGTGTTACATTCATACTTAAAACTGAATTTCTGTAGCATTTGAGTTAAACCACTTTAGTCTTTTTTGAGCATGAGATAGGAGAAATGTTTTTATACAGTTAAAGAAGAATGTCTCTTTATCGGTGTAATTCTGAAGATCAGGGCTTGAAAGTTGATATCTAGTAGGGAAATGGTACTCAGTGATGAGGCTTTTTGTAGTGTTTGGAATGAATTAACGTAGGCAAGTCCACAGCCTTTGAAAGTGCTGTGCTTGTGTGCAATGGAGGTGGCAACGCTTGGCATTATCTGGATATGGGGAGATGCCAGGGTAGGTAAGAAAGTTAAATGGAGGAGACAGAGGGCTAAAAGGGGAGCTTGCACCTATAGGTAAGAGCACTGGGTTTGGATGCTGTAGCTGAAATCTAGGCAATGCTTTTCTCAGCCCTGTATTTGTCTGTTTTGAGCATTTCTCCTCTCTGTTTTGTGGGGTTTTTTTTTTCCTTTTTGACTACCAGAATTCACAGCTAGCTTTTTAGACCTGTCTCCACATTCACAAATGATAGCGATAGCTCTGGGCTCACATCCCAGTGCAGCAAAGGGGGAGGAAAGACCTTTCTCCTTCAAAGAGAGGGTACACCCACCCTTCCCATTTACAGTATCAGCTCCTCTGCTGCTTCGTGTTTTGTGGCAAAGTCTGACTTGTTATGATTTTTTTCCTCTCTTTAAGTAGCAGGGATGTTTCGGGGAGGGTAGGAATGGGTGTAGGCATAGCAAAGTAGGAGGCTGCTCAGGGCATCATCCTGCCAGGGCAGCGAGGTGACTGCACCCTGTGCTTTCCCTATGGCAGAGCCCTGGGAAGCCAAAGAGCAGCAGTCACTGCTGGTGCTGAGGGACAGGCTGCAATATGTGGGGTGATGTATGTACTATTTTTTTCCCTTCTAATTAGTGGATGCCTCTTGCTCCAGCCCCACAGACAGCAAAAGGTGCAACAAGCCTCACTTGCTGACTCTGTCCCAGTTCTGCCTCTCCCCTTCTGGGACAGGTACATCCATCTCTTTGCCTTGGGCCAGGCACATTGCTCAGCTGATACTACCATGGAACCCTGAGCCAGCTTTACTGACCCACCAGCAGCCTTCCCACAGCTAACTGCCCCAAATTCCCTCACTGTGTTAAAACAAGAGACAAAGCTAAGCAAGAAGATGCTGCCAGCTGGGGTAGGTAGGACCATAAATTCAGCCTGTTGGGAAGGAGGAGGTAAAGAATGCTGTTAAACTCGGGCTTCTCTCTGCTGCTGAGCCAGCCCACCTGAGTGCAAAGCTGCCTCCCCCATGCTGGTGGGAAATCTTTGCACACACCTGCCCAGCAAAAGAAGAAGAAATGCCAGTGTATTTTTATCAGCTGCCATTTAGTCAGCTCCGATAATGAACACTATGAGCCCTGCAGCACAGGTAGCAGGCAATGGAAGTCCTTGGAGGGTTTGCTCTTGGGCTGGGACACTATGCAAGTCCTTTCCCTTCCCATGGGGCCCAGAAGTGTGAGGAACAGAGCTCAGCTCTCCCTCATGACCTGTGTTAACGGGTCAGATGAGGAAAACTGCATCCAGGCCAAAAGAAAGAGCATGACAGCTGTTTGCCCCTGTTATTTCCAGGGCCATTGTAAGGGCTGCCTGTGTTGTTTTAACTTTTGGCTGGTTTTCCTGGAAGCTGCTCTCTTGCCCCTGGAGAAAACAGCAATTGCAAAGACAAAGCACTGAGCAACTGCAGCTCCTCTTCCTCAGCTGTACTTCAGGTTGGGGTGGCTGGATTTAACTGTTCTGAAAGCACTGAGGTTTGGGGGGGGGGTGCCTGAATGCTTGAAGTCCCTCTTAGCTTTATTCATAGTGGTATCAACAATGATTTCTCTAGGGCTGCTTTCTGTACTGATTCATGCATCTGTGACTTCGCTGACAACAGAAATATTAGGTCCAGTTTTGCAGGTGCAAATAACTGTGATCCTATTCAAAAATACAGCCACATGCATGGCAGGTGTGAGCAAGTATGAAAGTAGTCATTAAATATTCACCTTTCCCTTAATCTTTGCAAAAAGACACCCACGCTTGTCTTGCAAACAGGAATAAAAGTGCAGGTCCTTCCTGTATTTTGAAGCCTATTCTTGTCTTTTCCTGTGTTTTTCAGGAGGATTCATAAAATGGAGTTGCTCTGATGGAAGAAGGCCAAAGGGGGCAATTTCTGTTCCTTTTCCTTTGTTCGCCTGTTTGTTTTTCTCTGAAGGAGATAGCACAGCCCTGCTCCTTCTCCTGATATCTTCTTGCCAGTCACTTCCCCCTCCTTTGAGCTGATCCTGTAGCAAAGTGACTCAATCGTGCTATTTGTGGTACAACAGTCATTTTTCTTTCCAGCAGCCTCTGATGTCAGAGACCAGCGAGAATGACACCCTGGCAGGCCCCTGCCTTCAGCAAGTGTTCAGGATCAGGCTCAAGCTCTGGATCAGACCCCAAGGTCCAAGTTAGCTCTCACGGGAGTCAATGGGTATTTTGCTTCTGACTTTAGCGACAATGAGATCAGGCTTCAGATAACTTGTTTGCATGAGTAAATAAAGCCCTTTATTCCTCTAGTCCGCTCCATTGTGAAAGCTGTGTGTCAGGAAAGCATACGCTTGTTTTTGGTAGAATTAGCAAATCAATGGATGAAGGCAGTGCAGCAGATGTAATATAGCTACATCTTAGGAAAGCGTGCAATACAAGAGCTTACTCCAAAATTAATTCCCACTGGGATTGGATTAAAAGCTGGTTGCCAGGTCTTCAACAAAAGGAATGCATAAACAGCAGTGAGCTGTGCTGGGGTGGTGATGCTGGGCTGCTGCGGGGCTGCAGTCAGGACTGGAGTTCCCTACCGCTTTCCCCAATGAGTTAGCAGATGGCATACATCCCAAAAGCCCAAACAGGGGCCTGGAGCCCAGATCCAGCCCAAAGGGCATTCCTGCCTCTGCAAACACCAAGAGGGATGGGACGATGCAGACTGGCAGAGGTGATAGAGGTTTTAGGGTGGCATGAGCTCACCTGGCCCCCAAACACCTTGCAGGAGTTAGAAGTGTCTGTGAAGCATAGGAGGAGAGCTGGTCAGGTGTGGCATACAGCAGGAAAGTGTTAAAATGATGTGAAAAGTCTGCAGCGTGAAGGGAGGCTTACAGGAGCTACCCACAAAGACAAATCAATCAGCTATGGGTGGTGGAGGGAGGTGGATGAAATAGTGAAGAAGAGCTGGGTAGCATTGGCTGAATTCCATGTATCTTTCCTCCAATGGTTTTTTTGCCAGAAATTGCATTGGTTTCATCAAATTTAAAAAAAAAAAAAATATTAGGGTGAAATTTTTCTTTTAAGAAAAAGCATTTCAGAGACTGCTGATGCTTCACTCCTAATTTTATTTAGAGAATTTTTCACCTCTGTCAATATTTTCCTCGCTATTTCAAACTGCTTTACTACCATAAGCAACATCTGAGTAACACACAGGCTTTCCCTGGACCTCCAGAGACTGGTCCTCTCCTGCCACAGTATTCAATAAGCTTTACATTGTCACACATACAAGCTATGCATCCCAATCTGAGACTTTCATTTCCTTTTCTAGACCGTGTAGCATCCATTTGGTACTGAAAGAAGCTGACACTTATCAAATGCTGATGTCATCAGTATTTTGCTATAGAGCTAAAAATAGAAACAACTGTAACAATGCTGAAATTCTCATGCAGAAATTTGAAATCATATTTGAAACCAGCTTTAGAAGATGCTTCAGGGAAATCTTGGGGCTATTTGGTTTCATACTGAAATGATGAAGGGATAAAACCAGATTCCAGCAAAACAGGTGCTTTGAGGAGCCCAGACTGCATCCCTGAGCTCACAGGGGGAGTGGGATGCTGGGAAGCAGGCACAAAGCTGGGTGGACAGCAAGTGAGATGCAATGCCTGGCTGGCGAGGAGCCCAGGCAATGTAAACTGAGCAACTGAAAATCTGCAGAGGAATTTGATGACGGAGACTAAATCTTGTGCAGGGAGAATGAGGGATCTCCTCCTGCGAAGGTGGTGGTGGGGAGCATGTGCATGTGTTGTGATATTTTAGTTCCTGTCCATGATTGTCACTGCAGTGAGGTGTGTTGTAGAGATGAGGCAGTTCGGATGCATACAAAGGTGCAGAAGCGTATCAGGGCTCTGAGCCCAGTGCGTGCTGTCTTAGGGAAGCAGACCCCAGCTGTCCTCGTAAGTGTAAATACCTGTTCAGTACTTAAAGGGGAGAGAACCTGGCATCCTTCAAATAGCTCAAAACTTGCTGTTTCAGACTGAGGGAAGCTGGGTGTATCTGCTTCATTTCTGCTTTTCATGGGGTACATTCCCATCAGTCAGTTGCTCCCCACAAGGTAGCGGCTCCCAGGGGACATCAGCCCTCACATTGCAGCAAGGGCCAGACCTTGTGCCCCATGGCTGGTGCTCTGCTGGAGCTCATCTCAGAGACTTCTTCACATGTCCCATCTCCAACCTGCCTGACCTGGTCATGACCCAGCCCTGTCTGTATTGTATTCCCTAGGACCCAGTCCAGGATTATTGGTTTCTCCAGCTGATAGAAAGGTTTCTCCTGCTCCTGTCTCACTTGACACCTGCAGTTTGCAACCATGTCCTTGCTCTTTCCATAGG